GATGGGGGAGGGTCCCGTCCACGCTGCGGGGCTGGCGCCGCACCCCGGGCAGGGCGGGGAGAGCTGTTAACCCCAGCGGGCGATGGGAGGTGGTCCTGCCGCTTACCCTGTGGGCACTCAGCTCCCCAGCCCAGCGCCCGTCCCGCTGCGAGAGGGGATTGAGTAAGGTGGTTTTGGGTGCCGGGGCTCGGTGCCGAGCCCTCCGCGGGGGACCACGCTGCCGTGCTTTCCAGGCTTAAGTTCACAGTTGCGTTTTCCTCCCTGGTGCTGGCTGGTGGCCGGCTCGACAGCTGCCGGCAGCAACTGCTGCCCGCGCAGCTCTTAACCCCGCCTCGTGCCCACAAGTACGCAGCTAGAGCCAAGAGGTGTGGGGCTGCAGTGAGGACATGGCTCTGAGAGGCAGCTTGGGCAGCTCTTGGCCCCGCAGATTTGCAAATATGAGGCCCAACACAGGTGATGATGCCACAGAAAGGCTCATCTGTGCGTCCCAGCGCCAAGCGGGGAGAAGGGTCTCCCCTGTTGCCTCCCAGCCCACCGCCTGCCTGGAACGGGAGATTAAGCACCGCCTGTGAGTGGGATCAGACCTTTTTTGGGGTGCTCCTGCCTGGAGCAGGCTTTCCCTGCACCCAGCTCACGCTTTTCGCCCCGAGAAACGCTTGTTTCTGTGGTGGTGCCTGCTGCGGTGGGGGTGAATCCCCTTCACGCGTGGGGTGGTTTGTGAGAACAGCTCTGATGCCCAGCCCCTGCACTGGCTGAGGCAGGATTGATCCCACATTGACGCCAGGAGCTGTTTGAGCCCTTGACATCAAGTGCTCAGGGCTGTAACTCCCCCAGCCCATCCAAACTCCCATCTGCCTCTGGGCTGGAGCACATCAAGCTGTATCTGTTGGACCGGGTGGACTCTCGGCTGAAGCCCAGTAGGGTCGGACTCCCAGATCTGCCAGGGGTGGGATCCAGGCTGTCTGTCTCTGCTAGACCCCTGCACAGCGCCCGAGCACCGGCACTCTCTGCTCCTGGCTGCAGACCCCAAAGCCTGTTAGCAGGTGGCTTGTCATGGTCCTGGAGTTGACCAGTGTCCCCTTGGTGTCTCATAGTGGCACCGGCTGCCCACAACCCAGGAGACTGATGGCTTCCAAGTGAAGCGTCCCGGCGACGTCAATGTGAAATGCACTCTGCTGCTCATGCTGGATCACCAGGTAGGGGTCCTGGAGCCACGCGGGTGCTGGCTGTACCCTGCTGCCCTTCCTCCAGCACAGCTTATCTGTGCAGGGAGGTCCGGTGGGGCAAACGGGCCTGGGCTGGGGCAGAGCCTTAATATGAGGCCACTGGGGGGCTGTGGGGATGGAAAAGGAGCCCAGAGGGCTCCCGGCACAGACCTCGCAGCCTGCGGTGACGCAAGTGTGTGACACAAGGGCTGTGTGGGGCAGCGTGCCCACAGGAGGGGCCCTTCCAAGTGCCAGACCCCCTTCATCCCGCCTGTCCCTGCAGCCACCACAGTACAAACTGGACCCTCGCCTGGCTCGCCTGCTCGGGGTGCACACACAGACCCGCGCCAGCATCATGCAGGCGCTCTGGCTCTACATCAAGCACAACAAGCTGCAGGACAGTCATGAGAAGGAGTACATCAACTGCAACCGCTACTTCCGCCAGGTCAGTCCTCGCCCCGCGGCACCACCGTGCTTTGCTGGGAGGAGAGCACCCTTCCCACCTCCAGTAAGGCCAGAAAAAGCATCTTTTCTGGCCTGAAACAGACACTCCAGACTGCCCGGTCTCAATTTATGCCCCTTCCCCAGGGGTTTGCGTCCATCAGCTTGCCGTGCACAAACCAGGGCTGGACAGGTTCCCCCCCTCCTGCCTGGCCCTTTGCTGTCCGTGGCAGGGGCCCTTCCCACCCGCCACGCAAACACTCTGCTTTGCCCCTCCAGATCTTTAACTGTGTCCGCATGCGCTTCTCCGAGATCCCCATGAAGCTGGCGGGGCTCCTGCAGCACCCAGATCCCATCATCATCAACCACACCATCAGGTAGGGGCGGAGGGTGTGCTGGGCAGCGTTCCCCGGGGCTGGCGGGCTCTGTGGGGTGGAGGGGCAGGGTACCTCCCCAGCAGGGTGCAGGAGGGGAGGGCAGTACCCGCAGGGGCTACGAGGTCTCCAGCCCAAAGCAGCAGTGAGCACAAGTCACTTGGGAGGGGAAGAATCAGCCAAACGACTTTGGGGGCTTCTCGGGGCGGTCAGTGGGGTACTCGTGTTGCTGTCAGGGGAGTCCATCCACCCCTACAGCAGGGTGGAGGCTGACGTCCCCCCTCACGCCCTCTTTCCTCCCAGCGTGGACCCCAACGACCAGAAGAAGACGGCCTGCTACGACATCGACGTGGAGGTGGATGATCCCCTGAAAGCTCAGATGAGCAACTTCCTGGCTTCCACCACCAACCAGCAGGAGATCGCCTCCCTGGATGCCAAGGTGCGGGGCTCAGCCAGGGTGGCACTTCAAGGCTGCACCACGGAGCTGGGGGGAGCTTGGTGTCCTGTTCTGGGGGGGACACAGCT